AGCCCCGGCCGCCCCGCGGGGGCTGCTCGCACGCGGGTCCCGCATCCCTGTGAGGGGGCGAAAATGGCCGCCGAGGGCACCATCTTGCTCCCGTGGGGGGTGCAGGGACAGACAACGGGCAGGAGGTCTCTGTGGCAGCGTGTAGCAATCAAGCTTTCGGGTAGTTTTATCAGCCTTATCTGCCTGTCCTCAAATTACCGCAGATAAGAAGAGCGTGGAATCACGCACGGATCATACCTTGGAAATCGGTGACAGATGCCTGAAGATAGTCGTCCAGCTGGGAGAAGGGGACCCAAGCAAGAGCCAGATTTCAGAGCAGGCCTCCCCCAGCTACTCTGTCCCTTCCAGCCCTTCCCCACCTCTGGAAAGGTTCGAGGAGCAGCTGGCAGCCAAAGGCCATGGAGACACGGCAAGAGAAGTCATTACCAAAAAGGTACATCAGGAAGAGCACTAACAAACCGTGTCATGACTTGCCCTGCATTTATTTCCACGAGTCACAGAATCAGAGAATAGTTTGGGTTGGAAAGGACCTTTAAAGGACATCTAGTCCAACCCTCCTGCAATGAGCAGGGACATCTTCAACTAGATCAGATTGCTCAGAGCCCTGTCCAACCTGAACTGGAACGTTTCCAGAGATGGGGCATCTACCACTTCTCTGGGCAACCTGTTCCAGTGCCTCATCATCCTCATAAAAAATTTCTTCCCTATGTCTAGCCTAAATCAACCATCTTTTAGTTTAAAATGATTACCTCTTGTCATATTGCAACAGGCCCTGCTAGAAACTTTGTCCCGGAGTCCTTTGCATTGCGTTCTGTTGCACTTCAATATTTCATGCCAGGCAAATGTCAGTTACATTATCTTAGTCAATAAAATGGGGGCGGGGAGTGCCTTTTGAGTGCTGGACCACAGGTCATCCACACATATTAACAGGCAGCATGTTCTCCAACATGGCTTTGGCACATGCCCACCACTACTCTCCAAAGTGACGCCCTGGCAGGTTTCAGGTGATAGTATGCACCAAGGACTGCTCCCAAAGGTGGAAAAATCATATGAGATTTGGAGCACCTCTCCTATGAAGACAGGCTGAGAGAGTTGGGGCTGTTCAGCCTGCAGAAGAGAAGGCTCTGGGCTCTGGGCTGATCTTATAGCAGTCTTCCAGAACCTGAAGGGGGCCTACAGGAAAGCTGGAGAAGGACTTTTGACAAGGGTATATAGCGATAAGGCAAGGGGCAACGGCTTTAAACTGAAAGAAGGTAGATTTAGATTAGATGTAAGGAAGAAGTTTGTTACATTGAGGGTTGTGAAGCACTGGAACAGGTTGCCCAGAGATGTTGTGGATGCCCCATCCCTGGAAGTGTTCAAGGCCAGGTTGGATGAGGTTTTGAGCAACCTGGTGTAGTGGAGGGTGTCCCTCTGCATGGCAGGGAGGTCGGAACTAGATGATCTTTGAGGTCCCTTCCAACCCAAAACAGTCTGTGATTCTATGATCTCTTTGTGGTACGCAAACCTCTAACACTATTCCAACATGTTTTGGACTTACAGACGGCTCTAATTACTTCCATCCCTTACCTCAGCGTTACAAAAATCTGCTCTGATGTCATGTTGCACAGCAAACATTATTTCAAACACTTTGAGCTAAAAGTTACGCAGAAAAGAAAAGAAAAGAAAAGAAAAGAAAAGAAAAGAAAAGAAAAGAAAAGATCGACTGCGCGTTAGGGACATGGGGTAGGGCCAGCCTACGTGTTACATGATGCGGACGTAGCTCTACCAAGACACTGTTATCTGCCCCAGAGGAATTACCCTGTTTTGCGTAGTAGCACAGATGTAGCTTTTGAGGTCTAGCATGTGGTAACGTGGTGGTGATCTGACGTAACAGTATACTGCAAATTTCCCTATCCATCTGTCTGTGCAAAGCAGAGATGTGAACGTGTTTGTTATTATTTTTCAGAATCCTGTTTTCTATCTTAACCTTGAGTTACTAAAGCATGACTTTTGGTAATTTTTTAAAGAAAGATAGTAGAGAAAACTAGAAAGTCTAGTACAGTAAAAGAACAATGTAATATAGCTTCTCTGTGCTGTAAAAGATGTGTTGCTGTCACTTGACGCTAAGGGGACAGACAGGTTCTTTTGGGGATCCTTGGCAGAATGGTAATGGCACTAACTCGTAGTTACAATTAAAGCTTTATTTTTACAAAATATTTTATAATATTTTTTATTATAAATTTTTATTTTTTTATATAAAACCGGGATTTTATGATTAGCATAGCATAGAGTTAATGATCAGAATAGCACAGGTTTTCTACAAGCAGAATTGGTGTAGTACAATTTTGTAAGTAGTGGAGCACAGAATTTTATAGCATGGTTTAGCTTATGGGTTCTAATCGCCCGGACCCTCTGCAGGTCATGTCAAATCTTGACACTTGACTTGCCATATCGATATAACAATCATAATCTAGACTCAGAAAACACGTAGAAGAATACAAGTCGTTCACTCAGTCCTCAGAGGAAGCAGATGACAGTGGAGGTGTCCCTGGCCACTGAGGGATCACTGTCTAGCAGCAGTTGTGGGCCAAGTTCCCACTTAGGACTTGTAACTGCTTGATTTTATGGACCGTGCTCTGTGTGCTGTTACGCTTCCCTGTTCTGTGATGGGGTCATCACCACTTGGTTGGCGGGTTGCCTTGAGACCTTCAAGGCCGCTAAGGAGAGGAGTAGTTGGCCTGGTGCCCAGGAACCTTGAGGACAACAGGGAGGGGAAGGAGAAATCTGTTTGCTTTGTCTACTTGGTGCGCAGGACCTCCAGGGCCTGATGATGAGGGGAAAAGGGACTAATACGTGACCAGCTTGGTGACAGAGAATGGCCATTTGCCTTACAAAATGGCGTTAGTTATGCTAACCATGTTGAGCAGGGAGTACTGGTCACAGTTTCAAACTAGGTAGCAAAGTTATTTTCTTTGTTCCTGTAATGCTGATGATATTAACAAATTTCATTTTTGCTGCCAACTTAGAAGCAGATTGCTTTACTTACAGGTGTGTAGTGTTGGCATACATGACATAAAAGAAACACTGTGTGCAAATATGTCTATAGTAATCTGCCCCTATTGAGACATATAGAGTTTTTCCGTACTCAAAACACAGAAGGAGCAAGCAGAGAAACTTAGAAAAAGAACAAATACTGATACCTCCTTATCTTCCCTCTAGATATTTCTTACGGTGTCTGCAACTTTGAATACCAGTATATTCACTGAACAGCAAAGGCAGAAAATAACCATTATATGTCCAAATTTAAAAAGAGAAGGAAATCCTGATATTGATGGCTCTGAGAAGTTGACAGGAGATTTTACAGATATTGAAAAAGCTTACCACTACTTTAGGGCTATCCTTGAAGGCAATGACCCAGACCCTGATTTTTCACACTCTGAAAGTAAAAATGGTTTGGAAGATCAAAATGGTCTGAATACAGAAGAAACGAACGAGCTTATAGTTCTGTCAGCTCTCTATGAATATTTCAGTCATGCCTGCAAAGAAGAAATCGGAGCACTACGTGAACGTTTTGGAGTGTGTATAAGAAGTAAAGATCTTGACAATGGAACCACATCAATACGCCTCACTTCTGATAAAAGTCCTGCATCAATACCAAAAGCTAATGAATTTTTTATCAGGACTTTTCAAAAAAGCGTAGAAGATCTGAAACAGGAAAAAATTCCTGTAACAAACAGTTACACATTAAATGAGACAATTATGAAATTAAATGCTAAGTTTAGTAATCTTCTTGCCAAAGAGGAAGGGAATCAATTGCTACTCCGTGGTCCAGCGCGTGAGATTTTAGCTGCCAAAAAATTTCTAGCAAAGGAAGTTGAGAACAGACAAGCTGAAAAGAATATGAAAATATCATCTGAACTGTACAGATACAGGAATGGAATTGAGGTTGATGCTTCTGTATTTAAATTGTTGGAAACCATATTAAGCAAAGAAATTGAAGACATTAAAGACCAATTTGATACAGTAATAGAAAAGAAACACATTATGTTTGGCCAGAAGATGTTCCTAATATTTAGGCCTAGGATCAAAACTTCTGATATGTCTTCGCATGCTACTGAAAGCTTCATCAATGCATTTCAGAAGTCCTTGGCACTGTTAAGAGAAAAACTTATCAGCTGGAAGCTTTCAGAAGATCAGAAGAAAAGATTAACTATGCTACTTAATGAAAAACAATGGGAAGATCTGCATGTAAAACTTAAGAAGGAGGAAGACAAATTCATCTTAAGTGGTTTACCAGACAATCTTGATGCTGCTGAAAAGCACATTATGAATCTTCTTAACGTTGAACACTCAACACGAACTAAAAATAGGGCACTACTGTCCTCTAATCTCAGCTATCCAGAAGCTACAGGAGCATCTGAGAAGAAATACAATGGCAGGCGAAAGAATAATCTTTCTCCCAAAGGACAGGTTAAGGCAAAGACAGAAGAAGAAGACGAAGATGTGTGTCCTATTTGCATGGATACAGTTAATAATAAAGAAATACTGAGAAAGTGCAATCATGCATTTTGCAAAAGTTGCATCGACCAGGCCATGAGTTATAAGCAAATGTGTCCTGTTTGTAATACTGTCTATGGAGTCGTGGAAGGAGACCAACCAGAGGGAACGATGTCAACAGCAATGATGTCTTCATCTCTCCCTGGTTTTCCCAGATGTGGTACTATTGAGATTACATATAGGATGCAAAGTGGTATTCAAACTGTAAGTTTAATTTAAAGATTCATAAAATATATTTTTCCCACAACAAAACCAGTATTGAATATAAAATTAACTATTTTTCCCTCATTTTAATGCATTTCTTTGTTCTGTAGCAATCTGCAAGTATTTAATTCAGTATTTTTGAGTGTGGTTAAGTAATACAGTAGGAATTAAATAGTCAAATGGTAGCCCTCCATTTTATATGCACCAGGACAGAGCTACCTGTTTTTAATTCATACGTTGGGAATAACTGAACTGAAATCTATGGAGTGATATCACGTAAACAGGATTTTGTGAGTATGATGAGGATTCTCTGAGACATTCTCCTAGATGCTGACACCAGCGCACAAAAACGAATAGTGGGCTGGCTTGTAAACTTTCCAGGTGAGAAATCAGCGTATGTTATGTGCTTAGAATCATAACTAGGACTGAATATGGGATAAATGAGTAAGTTGGGGGTGGGGTGACATGCATTTGGGATAGCAAAGAGCTAAAAAACAGATTTAACAGTGGATGCATGAGTGATGGCAAGAAAATGTGAATGAAACCTGTATGAAAGAAATTATCTAATGAGAAAAAACCACCTCAAAATCAGTCATGCTATGTCCTCCTGAATCAAAGACAGGATAAAAAGCATTGTGAAAGCTGAGATGTGTGATTTTCACACTTTCAAAGCATTTCTCTTATACAATGTGTTTTTGTTCTGGTTTTTGACAAGCAGAGCAACCATCCAAACCCAGGGAAACCTTATTCTGCGACTTTTCGAAAAGCGTATTTACCTGACAATAAAGAAGGGCGAGAAATTCTGCAGCTCCTCAAAAGGGCCTTTAGCCAAAAATTGATTTTCACAGTGGGGCAGTCACGTACTACTGGTGAACAAGGTGTTATCACATGGAATGATATTCACCACAAAACTTCCATTTATGGAGGACCTACCAAGTAAGTAGTCTTCTCTTTACATAATTTTATTGCTACTCAGATGTGTCAGGAATGCTACCCTGAATGTTTTCCACATTAGAGTTTTCAGATTTTGTCACTAACAGAGTGATTGTGGAATGCTCTATGGACCCAGACTTGAATCGCCTTCACCAGTTTGGACAGTTGGAACAAGGGTGAGCTTAGTCTTCTGTTGCCGCTCAGGCCGCTCATTCAGCAGTGGGTTGTGCAAAGCACCTACTCATAACTGCTCTGATTAGAAACTACTTCTAGTACAGGACAGGACAGGAAGCTCTTGATAACAGCTAAGGCTGCTGGACTCCTGATCTCAGCCTCCTCCGTTGTCTGCTGTTTTGCACCAGGAGGTGCTGGTCCATTATGATCCCGGTAAAGACAGCACTCAGACTCTGTGATTCTGTGATTTGAAATTCTGCTCATTAGACCTAACAGCAGGAAGAAGGAACTTGCAGTATAGATACGGTTGTGTCCTTTGAGATGCTAGGAACCCTGGGTTGCGCAGCATTCAGTGGGTCTCCGATCAGAGCATGGGAGGCCATGCTGACCCCGTCCGTAGAAAGGGTTATCCCGTTTTGGCCGTTTGAGCTATTACAGGATTTTCTTAGAAGACAACTCTATTCAGCTTTTCTTGAGGACTTGCTGCACTTCTAGATAAAGGCAAGGACACGCAGGTGGTGTAATCACCAGCACCGAGTAGGAGCTGCCCGCAGGGCCTCTCTCGGAGTGGGTGGGCTGAGTCTGTCATGCAGCTACTGGACGGGCAAAGCACAACATGGCCTGAAGGACACGCCGCACATGCAGCACAGCGCGGCACGGGTCTGGGGCTGCCCAGGTTAACTGCCATGTGGGTCACTAAGTCCTCAATGTATAATGGTCTTCTGGTCAGAATCACTATGTTCCACCCCTTGATGCGCATACAATTGACCATTCTTAAGATTAACTACAGATTACATCAATAAACTGTTTAGCTCTTGGAAAAAATCTTACAGAGAGAAGAGGGAGGCTTGGAACAGTCCTTCCAAGCTTGTTGGGGCCTCTCAGGGGCAGGTGTTCACCTGCAAGCTCTAAAGGTTTGTGCAGGGATCATAAAAGAGCAAAAAGTATCAGTTTTACTTTATCCCCCCTCTGCCCCAATGCTCTCCCTAGTTACCACTTGCTTCATACACACTTCTGGTGATTCAGTACTTCAAATCCAGAGGTGCCATCGTATTTGTGTTTTGAATGCTCACTTGGATGCGCTTCAGGTCTGATGTTTAGAAAGATGCATACACAAGCACGCTATCATTTTCAAGTGAGACAGCAGGCAGCTTTGAAAATCAAGTTCTTAGTGCCAGTTTAGATAACCAAATTCAGCAGCTCCTTTTCTTAAGTTTTTAGCGTTACACTATCTGTACCACCTCTGTGACCTACAGAATAGGGTCTGTTTTCTCTATAGAGTAAGAAGTAAGTGCGTACAATTTGTGAAGTGTTTTAAGAGATTTTGATGAGAAGGTTCTGTAGAACCGTGAAGTGCTTCGTTGCAGAAGTAGCCCAAACAATTCTTTTCCTCTTCTAGTTTTGGTTACCCTGATCCGGATTATCTGAAGCGGGTTCGATCAGAATTGAAAGCAAAAGGAATTGAATAAAGAAGCTTATCAACCGTCAGTTCTTAAGTGTCCTAACTGACCATGTGGTAGTTCCTTTACTATTCAAGCACTAAGAAGAAAGAAGTGACTTTGTTCAACTGCTGTGCTTAAATCCCTTGTATTTCGCAGTCAGCTAGAAAAAGTTTTTTTTTCATCAAATGATGTACATTCTTTTTACACATCATTTACTTCCTTGAGTAATGCTTCCTTCTACGAGTAACCCTTACAGAATGTCTTGTAAGTGCAGCATGAGTACTAGTTGCATTTGTCGAATATCAGATTGTACATCTTATTTTACCAGTGAATCTGATCTGCGCTTTTTCCCGCAAGTCTTCAGTTGACCACCAAACCCACTACTAGATCCGCTACTAGCTTTTGTTTGATCAATGCTTACGTTAGCTTTGTGTTATTACGTCTGTCGTTGTGGATAGCATCTTGTAACTCATCGACTGGAAGATTTTTATGCAGCTGTTATGGTATCAGCCGTGATCAGGCTATGATCTTTTGCTTTTTTTCCTTTTCAGGGTAGAAATGGCATTAGTGGTTTGGGTTTTAAACATGAAATAAGTATGGATAATATATGGGAGGGGCACGTGGATGCTGCTATATTTTAACCCTGCAGAAGTGCTGAATGCTCAGAGCCACGTTGGAGCAAATGGGAAGTAACTGCCTGTGGCCATCTCTGATAAAGGTGTCCTGGTTCTGTGCCTTCTATCGTATTTAAGCTTTAATACAACTTTTAAATCAGCTTCGCAACTATAAAACTATATTCTTCCCATTGCTTCCGATATATCGTTTAAATTGTATTATAAACATACTTTGTTGCTACTCTGCACTGTCTACATAGCCTGCTCATAACCTCTGTGGTGGTGCGAAACAGAGAGCTTTCACTTAATGCAGCCATAATCGTTAGTGAGTTAAACCATTTCTGTTAGCCTGGTGAATATAACTAATAAATAAAATCAAAAAAAAAAATCTGCTTCGTTCTGCATTCTTCTGTACACGTTTTCCCTCCCGTTTTAGATACATGTAGTTGTATATTTTTTTTTAATTTAGGACCTTCCCAGCAACGCCACGAATGGAGGGAGTGATTTGGACCCCTTGCCACCTCCTTTTTTCTTTTTTTTTTTTAAGATTCCCACTGTGTGAACAGGCAGTACTACTTTACTACCTTGACTTTCAGATTCTGAGGTATCGGGCACTGATTGATTTCTGTGTGGATTGGGATGTCTTTCTTTCTGTGGTTTTGTTTTACTGTATTTGTTTTCACCTTTGACGCTATTTCAAGTTTCCTCCCTTTCCTGTGCAGTAATACACCAACATTCCAGTTGCTTCTAAATGACTGGGCTTTTCTGCACATGGTAACAAGCTGTGATTGTTGAATCTCCCCAGCTTCTTTGGGTCTCTCATTTCGCTTTCTGTCTCAATCAGCCAGTACAGAGATGTCAGACCCCTATCTGCCAATTCACCAGCTCGCTTTTTATCTGTGGCAAAGTTTCGCAGGCTGAGTTTTGCAGCAGAGTCCTGTTCACTGTCACTGAACGCTCCCAAGCCTTTATGCTATAACCAGACCTTTGCTTTCTAATCATAGCTGTACAGTTTGGGAATAAATCTACCCGATTTGCAGTCAAAGTCGGGTATTTTACCTGGGTTACAGCAGGGGAGGAGAACATGTACCTGGGCTAACTGTTGGGAGAGCAGGGCATTAGGAAGCGAAAGATTAATCGCGCACGGAGAAACAAAGGCATCCCCATGGGTCCGCTCAGCAGTATGTCTGACGGCACCTATATTTAGCTGACATCATATTTAATGGCATTTGGTTATTATCCATTTCCGCAATGAACTTTCAGTGAAGTTAAGGGGAAAAATGTTCATTTACCTGCTAATTTAGTGTCTCATATTTGGGCACATTAGTAAAATACGCAGCAAGAAATAGCTGAAAACTGCAGGGGGAAGTCCTGAGTGCTCGGTTGAAAGTGTCTCAGCTAGCTGACTCCTTGGTCTGAGGACAATAGTCTTCTGTTGCACTCTTGCGCACTTGTAGAAGTATTTCTGACAGAGAACGGTGGAAACTGTGTCACGACTCAATTTGAAAGCACAAGAGAGAGGAGAGTGAGGTCTGTTCACCCAGAGCCGAGCGTTATAAGCTCAGGCATTGGAAGCAGCTGCATTTGTAAAACTGGCTTCTCGTTCGACCCTGTGGAAGTACAACGCTACGTTTATGATCTCCGGAGGAAAGCGGGCTGTCACTTGGCCGCTTTCCAAGGAGGGTCACGGGCTGCGTCCCGCCCGCCGCCCGCAGCCCCGGGGGCCGTCCGAGCGCGGCGGAGGGTGGAGCCGGCGCCGCTGGTTTCCTCGCTGAGGAAAAGAAACCGAAA